AAAGAAAGAGAAAGAGAGATGGGTAGGGAAGACGAGAAAAGAAATAAAAAAAAATAAAAACTAAAAAAAAAAGAATAAAAAACATGTCAATGTAACGTATTCGAAATGCAAGCTAACAAAAGAGAACGGAATACTCGTCATCGTCATATACTTTTTGGATTAACACAAATTATTTAATTATTTTCCATTTATTTTAAATTATCGTTTGGAATTTAGAATTTCCATATAAAAAAAAAAAAATAAAATAAAAGGATATTGTTCTCTTTATTATGAAGAAAAATAAAATTAAGACTAAAATGTATGCTTACAATAAACAACAGAATACTCATTTTTGTCATACTTTTTTAATTAACACAAATTATTTTCCATTTATTTTAAATTATCGTTTTGAATTGATAATTCCTATATAAAAAAAAAAAAAAAAAATACAATTATATTAACCCATTGATACTACCAATTACGAGATATATCTCGTAATGTGTGCTGCAATTTTAGATTAATTACAAATGGTTATTTGCGTTAAGAATTATTAATTAGGTTGAATAAAAAAATATTTATATCGTGTAAAAAACATTAATTATCAATTATTGTAAATACCATTACAATATTATAACTTAACTATATTAACTTAATATTATTATATTTTTCAAAATTTAAGGCACAAAACCCTCTAAATATATTTGCCAGTCAATGGTTCTAAAATTAAATTATCTGTGTTATAATATTGAATGAACAAAACAAATATAGTTCTTTGAATAAATGCTGAATAAGAAAATTTGTATTCAAATCTACAAGATTTTAACAAATAAATATCGAATAGAAAAACATATATATATATATATATATATATACATATATATAGATTTGTGGAGAGGCCGTTCCAATCGAAAGGACAACCTCGAGGACTCGAGATTGGTCGTATCGATTTCAGAAATAGTGACACGTAAAAAAAAAACAGAAAAAAAAGAAAAAAAATCGGTGACCGCGTCCTGTCTTGAACAGAGAAACAAACGTAGTAGAGTGTAGGATATATTTTACTTTCACGTTTTCAAAGTACTTACTGTACGAACTTATACGAAGAAAAAAGAATGAGATAAAAATAAGATAAATAGAAAGAAAAGAATAATAAATATTCGAAGAAAAGTCTTTCATTTCTGTTGCGTTTGCACTCGATTCCGAATGGACATCCGACTTTCTCACGATCGAGTTACCTCCCCGTGGGAAGATTGATTCGTGCGAAACGTGTACATACACATACAAATACACATACACATATACACATTTTCTTTCTTCTTTCCTCTTCTCGACAGGTCTCTCAGGATATGTTTTACTCAATCTTAACTCGACTACTCTTCGTTGCATCGTTTTATAACGGGTGTTACACCGAATGCTTACAACAAACGGGATACCGCGCAATCGTTCACCAAGAACCGTTTTTGGAATTGTAATATCTTAAACCTATCGATAGTTTGTTAACGTTAACGTTATTTCAGAAATTATTTCATTATTTTAATAAATATATCTCACTTGTTTCTAATTCATTCATTCATTCATTCATTAAACGTACAATTATCATTCAAATAACTGGTTTTACAACAACTTCAAATTTCCGTTTGTTTATTCAATATTATTACCTTTCTTTCATTGTAATTTACGTAAATTATATATGTAATTATATATATACATAGTTTTATCAATTATTAATCATTTTTTTTTAGTTAATACCAGATTTGGTTATTTTATCTGCATTCAATGATAACACAATTTCAAATCCCATTTATTTATTCAATATTATTATCATTCTTTCATTGTAATT